GAATCCCTCCAATTCCAACCATTGATTTCTTCATCAATCCAATTAGTGTAAGCATCCTTTCAATTTTATTGCAATTTGTAGATATGGGGCATGGGGAGAGGGGTAGAGCTTGGGTTTCAACCCAAAGACCCACATGCCTTACAGGCTGTCCTGGTGTGGTGCCATGTTGGTCCAGGTAGTGAAAGGCTACCTCGATCTTGATTTTGATTTATGCAAATAGCTGCACATGTTTAAATAATCAACTCTCAATCTCTCATGACAACATAGAAAACTATGTGAAGTAATCTTTGCTCAATTTTCTTTCTCTTTGCAGTGATTGAGGGGGAAAAGAAAGAAGAAGAAAAGGATGATATAAGAGCTAATTTTCAAAGCGAAAACAGGAAGATGAAAGGAAGAAACTAAGGGAAGAGAAGAGAAACAAGAAAAAGAAGCTACATATATATGAAGAGTACGGGGACACTCTTTGGTGGCGATCCCATAACCTTGTCCATGAGGGAAATGTCCATGTTGATTTAATGAGCCCCACTACGTTCAGATGCATTAGACAAATGAAATAATGTTGAATGTCTAACTATAGATTATGTTCTCATAACTTAGTTACCATGATGACTTGATAATTGAAAGTGAGAGGCGGTGAACGGGGGAGCTGGGACATTCAATATGCAAAGCTTTTGAACTCAACTCCAATGGGGTATGGCCTAAATGCCATATGAATCATGTACGGGTTCTTTTCAATTAATATTACTAATTATAATTGGGCTTTATAGAAAGCCCAAATTTATTTTAAGTTTAATTTCCATTCTCAAATTGTGCCTAGCTAGCATACAGGGCTCAAGAAAAAAAATGAAACAAGCAAGATGTGGCTTGCTTTACCTATATGTAATACATACTATTAAATACTATTAATGTGATTGGGTGGCACTTGTCACCTACTTAAGACTCTTTAGGGACTTGTTTTAATTGATTAAAGGTTTAACCTTGGTTTTTATAAGTGCAACTTATGTTAATTTGTATAGTATGGTATAGGGTTAATTGGAATTAATTTGTCTTTTAAATTGAAATTTGCATTTGTTTTAAATTTTTTATTTTTATAAAGTCTGATAATAATTGTTGAATAAAAAAAAATTATTCTACTGATAGGTCTTCTCATCTTTAGTTAATATGGACCTGTCGGGTCTTGGTTTTTATAGGTTTAATATTTATGTTGATTTTTATGGTAAATTTGTCTTGGGTGACTATCAATTTCTTGGTTTTCATACTGAAATTTACACTTGTTTTTGAGGTTTTATATTGATATTTTTTAAGTTTAATAATAATTATTGAATTAATACAAATATTGTATCGATAGAAGGTTGTCAAACGTTAAATTATTTAGTGACAATGTGGGTTGATGTATTTGGGACAATTTTTTTAATTTTAGGTGTTGAATCAAAAGAAAAATATTATGATAGTTTAATGGTGGAGAAAACTAAGTTAAAGGATGTTATGAGTTAATGTTTGATTGTTGTTACATTTATGTTTCATTACTCTTTAATTACTTTCATTATGAATGATGGACATCAAATACAATCTAGATGAATTAAGATTGATATTCTCCCATAAATAATTTTCTCTTACATATAATGCTTAATGCTTCTTTTTTTTTTATGTTTAAATAAAATAAAAAGAATTTACAAATCAAGACTCTCAAAAACAATGATGAATAAAGCGAAGGGAGTGCAGCTCTGGGGTATTTTCTTTTTTTGAAAAGCCAAGTGCAGCTTTGGTTGTTCTAAATTTTCTTTCTGATGGAGTCCACTCTTTGGGTGACTCTTTTTCATCAATAGTATCCTGCTATTAAAAAAAAAAGTGCAGCTCTGGTTACCACCCATTGACGGTAGAATCATTGTCTGGGATGAAAATTCACTCTTTCTTGACCAAATAAAGTATTGCACAGTTTTAAAAGCAAAGGTGTCTTGCATATGGCTTCGATGCTTAAGCCCTTGCCTCATACCCTAAAGTTAATTTTCTTTTTAAATTCCAGAGCAAAGCTACGAACTTCGACCAATGGCCAGAGGAATCCCCGCAAATTATATTACACTCAACTTTGGATGTGTGCTTTTGTTTATTCCCCGTTGTTCCCCTGTATTCAAATCTGGTAAGGCATTAATCGATTTTAATTATTTATTTAAATTAAAATAATTGATCGAAACAGTTTTATTTTTTATATTAATCAGTTGGTAAGAATAATTTATTTTCATTTTTTTACCAATTTTTAATATCTAAAATTTACAATTGAATTCATCAAAGTAATAATACATTTTTACAGTATACTTCAAAAATAGCGCTCTTTCAAATCAAAATAAATTGGTTTTGTTTTTTTTATATATTTTTTATTACAATTCAATCAATTTCAATTAGCTTTTTTTAGAATTTTATTAATTTGATTTTTAAAAATTTAAAACCAAATTGATTGAAACAACCAAATTCTTACCCTTAAACTTAACTAATAAAGAGACTTTATTTATCACCTTGAATTCCCAAAAATACTTCTCTTAATTCTAAATAACAATTATGTCACAACCTTTAATTTATCTTTATCTTTATTTTGTTTTGATTTGGGAACATGTCAATTCAAACTTAGTTTTTGAACACTACAAAAAAGTGAGTTTTAATCACATTTCTTTAAACAATATATTTTTTTGTATAGTAAAATTTTAAAAAGTGAAATTATTTAAATTTTTAATTTTACTTTTTTCACAACTGATAGTAATATAAAAAAGTATAACTTTTGTTAGTGTATACAATTTCTATAGTTACATTTTATTCATAATATATTTAAAAATTTATATAGTGAAGTTAGATCTACAAAAATATTCTAAAAAATATAAAAACAGTGTTATTAAAAATAATTTTAGTAGTACATCTTAAAAATGTGCCATCTTAAGTCAAATTTATTGCAATGAAAATACTAAATTTTTGCACCTTATTGAATCAATTAAATGCTCAAGTGCAACTTCTAATATATCATAGTCCCGTCATCTCATGAATTTTGAGGAAAATTTGAGCTTCTAATCAGGGGAAAGGATAAGGTTTGTTCTGCATATTATGAAAAAGATTATTCAACTTAATTTTTAATTACTCTCAAACTTTTTAAGTTCAGTTATTAAAAAGATAATAACATGTAAGTCAACAATAGCATATAATTTATAAATATAAATCTTATATTCAAAATAAGCAATGATATATATGAAGAACCATAAAAGTACTACCACAAAAGTTATTTCTATTACAATATACATTGACTGACCCTACCAATAGTTTCATTAACCCTTTGATGGGTAATTAAGGCGTCTCTGAATTTTGACCCTCAGTGGGCCTGTCAAGCAAGTACCACTTTCAATCAAGGAATAAAAGAAGAGGAGCATTGCCTCTCACTACCAAGATCATGCTAGTGTTGCCACTGTGATAATGATCAACGTTACTCCTAATGAATAAAAAATTAACACTACTAATAATTAATTTATGGGCATCCTCTTTAAATTGTTTGTAGAGCATTGCAAAGGAATAAAGGACTAGGAATAATTGACTTTTAAAAATATAAAAATATGTCAGCTTCTAATGTTGTTCACCATAGTTGGTGGTTGTAAACTTGCAAGTGAATAAAACCAGTAATTATCGTCATTTCCTCACTTTTCTTGATACCCTAATTATTTCAATAATACAAATGTAATCGTACATTCGTAATTCAAGGCTATGACCAAGAATCCTAACTTTTCCTTAACAAATGCATTTTGCTCTCTGCATGGCTGTGTGCTTGGACATTTTTAATACAATCAAAGTAGCTTGCAGCTTCAAATAGGGAAATCCATTCACTTTGCATCACCTTTTCCGACTAAGAAGATGAAGGGGAGGCAGTTTAAAGTATATGTAAAAAAAAAAGAAACGAATAGCCCATCAGTATGAAGAAACCTAATTTGTTCTTTAGAACTTGGAAGAGCTCCGGAAGAACATATTCTCTCTTCAGAAAACCTTTGAAATGGTATCTTTCAGTGAGCTTTTTGGTATGTCCTCAATACAGTCCTTTGCATTTGCATCTTTTAGGCAACAATATTTTTACCTTGCTTGCAGATTTCCCTTGCAAATAATGTCAGCTCTAAAGCCTGCAATGATATTGCTTGCCGCTTCAGAGCTTGAACAGGTGGTCCAGGAATGAAATTTTGTAAGAAAATCTCAGCGTTTAGATTTCATCATACCGCTTCTTTTGTTAAAAGGAAAAGAAATGATGCTTAAGATATTTGCAGAGGGGATTGAAATGGTAAAATTTTCCCTTTTGCAGAGCTCTGTAAGGACCAGATTTACGTAGATGGTCAAAGAATGATTCTTCCCATAGTAGTGGCCTGGCAAGCATAGTATTCTTTATAAAAGGCTAAGTTGCTTTGCTGTATGCAAATCAGTCAAAAATCAAATTGAAAGGAAAATCTATAATGCAACTTAAACCTTTGTCCTTCAGAGAAGCTACTTTCTCAGTATTAGATGTTTATTAAAGCCAACTGTTGATTATTATATCCAAAAGGTTTCCTCTTTCTTCAGTAGCAGCCTTTGTTACAACTATAATTTTGGTAGAAGTACACTTGTAACTCTTTTCTCTCTCTTTGCTTTTTTGAAAGGCGGTCTTTTCTCTTATTAATGATAAGTTTTTGTTTGGCTGATATATATACACATATACTTACAGCATCGCGCTTATATATATATATATATGGCCTAGTTATCCTTAGTACTTAATGTATAGGTTACTATTATGGCATTTCAGCTTTCATCAGTTAGGGATGACCACCTTAGGTTTGTCCACTAATTTCACAGGCCTGTTATCTTTCTCTCCCTTCTTTGTTGAAAATTCCTCTACCGTTGAATTTCCTTTCCCGTCCATAAATCAATGTCATATTGTGTTCTATTCATTTTTAGCATGATGCCATTCTCTTAAAGCTACTGCTAAACTCCTGAGAACGAGATCTCTTTGGTTCTCCCAAACACTTCAAACAAAACCATGACTTCCCCACTCACTGATTCCACAGCAGATCAAGAAATGCTAGACCTTGAGAAACATGGCTGTGTTGAAAGGGTTCAGTGGGTGCTTAATACCCCTAAGCCACCAGGGTTAGGCCATGAGCTCATGGAAACTGCTTTTTCTTGGAGAAACAAAATTCCATTTCTTAACAAGCAGTCCGGATGGAAAGGTGAAGTACTTTCAATGTTGCAAGCAACGTTGCCCATCCTTTCTTGGTGTCAGAACTACAAGGCAACAAAATTCAAGCGCGACTTAATGGCAGGTCTAACTCTTGCAAGCCTTTGCATTCCTCAGGTAAGCTCAAGTGCGATTTTGATCATTATAACAATAGTAGTGTAGTTGGAATACTAGCATCTCAAGTGATTCTGCATAAACTTTGCTCTCCTTTTTAGTTAAGATCAATATAAATATTCAATGAAGAGTGCTTTTTAGATTATGAGGCTACAATACTTACTTTTTTTTTTTTTTGAAAAGTACAATAGTCACTTTTTTAAGAACTTCGTATAGTCATCATCAAACTGTGAGTTCTTTTACACTTCTGTTTCTGGTTCTGATAATTTGTTGGTCATTTATGCCATGGTCTCATTGTATTTTCGTACAGAGTATTGGATATGCAACTTTGGCAAAGCTTGATCCTCAATATGGCCTGTGTAAGCTGCCTGATTGAATTTTTGCCATGCTTTTGTTGTCTGATATGGTTAGAGATTATGTGAATGATTCTCTCCATTTTACTCAATCAGACACAAGTGTAGTCCCACCTCTCATCTACGCCGTGATGGGAACTTCAAGAGAGATAGCAATTGGACCAGTGGCTGTAATTTCACTACTTCTGTCCTCAATGGTACAGAAACTACAGGATCCTGTTGCTAACCCAATCGCTTACCAGAAGCTTGTTCTCACAGCGACTTTCTTTGCTGGTACCTTTCAAGCTGCTTTTGGACTATTCAGGTATGTCACTTCCTCGGCATTTCCTCTCCCCCTTTTGGTTTCTTCATTTTTAACAGATGTCATGCAAATTTAAGCATCATTTTTTTTTGTTTCCCTTTCGAGTTATTACAGGTCAGGTTTCCTTGTCGATTTCCTATCACATGCTGCAATCGTTGGATTCATGGCAGGCGCTGCCATTGTCATTGGTCTTCAACAACTCAAGGGACTACTTGGGATCACTCACTTTGCAAACAAGACAGATATTATCTCTGTCATGAAAGCCATGTGGAGTTCCTTCCATCATCCTGTACTGTTAATTACTTTCATTTTCTTTTATTATATTGCAATATTAGACATAACTACTTGTCTACCGAATTTTTTAGTTATAAAAGTTATTTTTTGGGTTAATTCTGTCTTGTCCTTTCCTTTTTATACATTCTTTACAGTGGAGTCCTCATAATTTTATTCTCGGATCTTCATTCCTGATTTTCATCCTAATCACAAGATTTCTGGTAAGAACTATTTATGATAGTCAACAATATGTTATTAACTTTGATCTAGTGACGATTTGTATCTTCACAAATTCAAATGTTTTCTACTTTCTGATTCTATCAGGGTAAAAGGAACAGAAAACTCTTTTGGTTGCCCGCTATTTCTCCTCTGCTATCTGTCATTTTAGCAACTCTTATTGTTTTCCTGACTAAAGCCGATAAGCATGGAGTTAAGATAGTAAAACACATCAAAGGAGGCTTAAATCCAAGTTCAGTGCATCAGCTGCAGTTCAATGGGCCTCATGTTGGGGAAGTGGCTAAGATTGGCTTGGTTGTTGCTATTATTGCACTCACGGTTGGTATCAGAATTCAGAAGGTTTTTCAGGCGTATATAATTGAAGTATATCATCAACCTTGGAGATTTACTTTCTATTGTTTCAATCTTAGGAAGCAATTGCAGTTGGTCGATCTTTTGCAGCCATAAAGGGATACCACCTTGACGGAAACAAAGAAATGGTTGCCATGGGGTTCATGAACATCATAGGTTCTTTCACTTCATGCTATGTTGCAACTGGTAAGCTGTACTTATTGTTTCATCCAATTTCAGATATCTATCACTATGAAGTTCTATTTTGATAAGAAATTGTTCACCAGCAACCTCTCAATAGCAAAATATTGCAGGCTCTTTCTCGCGGACAGCTGTGAATTTCAGTGCCGGTTGTGAAACTGCAGTGTCAAATATTGTGATGGCTATTACAGTGTTCATATCCTTGGAATTGTTCACAAGGCTCTTGTATTACACTCCGACTGCAATCCTTGCTTCGATTATTCTCTCTGCTCTTCCAGGGCTTATTGACTTCAATGAAGCTTACAATATTTGGAAGGTTGATAAGCTAGACTTCCTAGCCTGCATTGGAGCCTTTCTAGGGGTGTTGTTTGCAACGGTGGAGATTGGTCTTCTTGTGGCGGTAACATTTACTTTCACTCTGTCTAATTAGGATGGAGTCATTTGTCTGTTTGGGTGAATATATATATGTACTTAATGCATAGTATGACCATTGGTTTATGCTAAAATTAGATGTTAAGAAGTGCAAGGGGAATAAAATCTATTTACGTTAAATCATTTAAGTTTTTTGGTTTAGAGTTTTTTTTTTCTCATGGTGTCAAATTATCTGATAACTGTCAAGGAAGTCATTTGTCAACACTTATCTCCAACTTAGGCATTGCACGTGCTTCACGAAAGGAGAGCATTTCTAGAACCCAAGGGAAAGGCTCATATTTGAAGGGGAAAAGTGCACATGACTAGACTTAGGTCAGCAATATGTTGACTCAAGGGAGATGGTCTCAAATCAGAAGGTACTTTTGGGCCATGTAGGTCCTCAAAAGTTTGAAAACTGAGCCACTAGTAGTGAGCCTTTCCTTTGAGATGTATGGTGTTGAAGCCTTGAAAAATGTCATGCATATCCCACTGCATTTTCGAATGGTATGTTTATGCATGCACTGCTGCAACAGATATGCATGCACTGCTGCAACAGATATGCATCCACTGCTGCAACAGATATGCATTAAACTTTGTCTTACATTTATTTTACAAAACAATTGTAAAATGTGTGATATGAAGGACTCATCTTATGAGATTTTTGAAATGTTACTTTCAGCCAATAATTTAGAAAAACATAATCATGAAAATATCTGTTTATTTATCTGTGCTGTTCAAAACGCTTTTGCTGGCACATAAATTCCATGTTGTATAAGATTCTCCATATCAACTGAAAATGATTAAATTAATTATCCTTTTACTGCCCAAGTTTTAATGCTTTCAGCAATATAATTGCAGGTAACAATTTCGTTTGCAAAGATAATTCTCGTATCCATTAGACCAGGCACAGAAACCCTCGGAAGACTTCCTGGAAGTGACATGTTTCGTGATGTCAATCAATATCCTATGGCTGTGAAGACTCCCGGGGTCTTGATAATGCGCCTCAAGTCTGCCTTACTTTGTTTTGCAAACGCCAATTTTGTCAGAGAAAGGTACTCAACAGTACCCCTGCCAACAATGATTAAAATGCTCAAAGACACGCAAGAAAAAACTAACAAGATAATCAAACAAAACATTATTTGCGGTTATATGGTTCGTTTTTCAGGATTATGAAATGGGTTGTTGAAGAGGAAAAGGACAGCAAGGGAAACGCAGAGAAGACTATTCAACTAGTAATTCTTGACATTTCCAGTAAGAGTTCAAGAGGAAATTAATATTCCAGGACATTAATTGTGGTTTAAAGAGATTATTGAATATTGTTCTTTTATTTTTCCTTATAATGATTTTTTTTTGAATGGTAGATTTGATGGACATTGATACATCAGGAATTGCTTCCCTGGAGGAACTGCATAAGAATCTTGATTCAAATGGAATGAAGGTAGGGCAATGTAAATTCTATTTATTTAGTGCTATTACATGCACAAGTAAAAATTATAATTGAATATTAACATCTTATATATAAAATTATTGCACATACAAATCAATTCACAAATCAAATATATGACTTGACAAATTTAATATAAAAGTAGATTATACTTATACTCAGAGAGGTTTTAATTTTGAACCTTAAAATCTAAGTCCGAGTATTAAAAAAATACATTTAAAATAAAAATAAAAATTTAAAGTTAGAATTTTCTTCTCTTTCTTGAATATTGTCCTTATCTACACTAAAAAAAATGTAAACATATGGTGATCGTATAGAGAGGTTGTAGCATTTTAAGTTGTATAGCAATGTTTTTTTTTTTTATGAAAATTAAGTTTTAAAGTTGTATAGCAATGTTATATCAGATTAAATTACATTGATTCCTTTGATTATTACCTCTCAGCTGGCCATTGCAAACCCTAGGTGGCAAGTGATCCACAAGTTGAAGCTGGCTAACTTTGTCTACAAAATTGGAGGAAGGGTCTATTTAAGCGTTGGAGAAGCTATGGACTCGTTTTCCCTCTAGAGCAAAAAAGAGCTTTAAAAAAAGTGTTGAAGCTTTTTAAATATCAAAACATGGCTTTGCTTGTCTCTTGCGTGTATGTTCCAGTCCCTTGCTGCATCCTTATGTAGCCAGCAAATGGGACAGACGATAATTAAGAGTGTAGAACTCAATTAATAAAGAAATAAGTGAGACTTGATTGTCAAAAAAAAAAAGTCTCTATGTAAAGGCTATAATTTGTATTATTATCTCATCATCTATATGGCATAGCTTTGTAACTGTGGCTATGATTCAAAATTAATTCTGATTTAACTTGTCATTAAGATTTGCAGCAGAAGCTGAATTTTTCACATCAAAGCTTGCTTTTGCATATTGTTGCAGCATCTGTCGTATACGCTTCCAACGACGAATTTTTTCTTAAAAAAGTTTGAGCAACAAACACAACATCTGATGTGAAATCAGACCATGTTTTTCTTTTCATATGAGATATGTTGGCATGAATGCCTAATTAGTAAGCTACTTGTTTTGTTGAATAGAGTTGTTCTACTTTCCCATTGTAGTTACCTACCATTGAAAAAGGTATGATTTGGTCGTATAATGTTATATAAATTATACATTAGCTAGTCGGCCTCTGTTGGACACTAATTAAATGCCTTATTAGTGTTCTATTTTTTTTTTTATAACGTGGTTAACGAAGTGGAATGCCGACAAAGCATTTCAGTTGTGTTTATTATCAGTAATTAACCAACAAATGCACAAATTATATAATATTAGTAACTTTCTAAAAGTAAGTAACCCAAATAGATAAATGCACAAACTTTGGTAACCAAATGAATAGTTTATTCAAGCCCAGTTGTTGCATAGCTTCCCGTTGAAACTGAATCATAAATCCTTATGCCTGCCTATCCATTATGATTTTTAGTTTCTTATAAGAAGAAGCAGACAAGAGTATTAGATTACCATTGTTGTAGACTCTTCCAAATGTGTCTAGGTTCAATGTTCTTATGGTTGCAGCCTCTTGATTGATTAATACACGGTGCGCAGTGGATGGTCACTTTATTAATTAATTCCTCCAAAGACTATGAACAAAGAGTTAGTCCTATTGGGAACGTATTGCCCTTTTGGTAGTGCTAATTATGACTTCCATTCACTTGGGTGGTGGTCTCTTTCTTTAGGGTTTTTGTCCCTTTGCTACTTGGGACCAATATCGAAATTGTCCACATTCATTGTATCTCATTAGCAAATGAGCAAACGAAAACCCATCTCTTATCCACTTTAATCACTTTTTGTTATTTGCTTGTCTTTCCATTTGGGGCGTAGTTATTTGTTAAAGATTTATTTTAAACCGTTTCATGAGGACACTCTTAATATTAGAATGAATAATTAATCGCGAATTTTTTTTGTCATGTATTTTTAATTTTCAATCGAATTAGGGTTTTAACTCTTTTCTATAAACTATGTAATATGTAGATATTTCTTAATTTATAATGATAACAATATCGGAGCATTTGATTTAATTAATAATAATTACATATATTTTATTTTAACAAAGTTAGATTCAGATGTTTATTTCTCAATTTCTTAAAAAAAAAATCTTTGATGCAAGAAAAAAGGAAGAATGTTCAACCTAAATATGAAAATTGATACTAATAATTATGGTATTAAAACTCTGTTTAGTTTAGTATACACACAAATATGAACAAGATAAGACAATTCATGAATAAATTGTCTTCATTTTTTTTTAAAATTTCAATATACATATTACATAGTTAAAATTCTCTCACATATCTCAATCATCTTAATCTTTTAAAGATTGTAATTATTTCATAATTAAAATTAAACATATTATTATTTTTATTATTATTTTCATTATCCTCGTACTCATTTTCTATCCGAATTTAAACTTAGATTTATATATTACGTAAAAACAAATAAATGCCCACTAATAAAGTGGTCTTTTCTATTTATAATTTTTTAAAAAAAAACCATAAAAAGAGTTCATGGATTAACTCCAACTTCTCTATAATAATACAATTTTATTGCAAAAGCTGCACTTTGCAATTGCTTTAAAGAAATTTTTTGAATGACTTATAACTCATTAATCTGAAAGGAAAAACGAAAGGCTATTCCTAATAACTTCATTGCACTATATATATTAGACATGGGTTTATTCAAACAAATTTGGGAATTAAGGATATAATCGTTATTATATTACGCATATCTTTTATTTAAATAAAATTCGAATCGAATTATGTTACTGACAATGCTGCTCTTTTTCTCTCACGTCTAACACAATCAGAGGGAAGCAGTGTGCTTTTGTCTCTTTGTTATGCTTTTAATGCTAATCGAAAAGGTGTCCACATGCACTGTATCTCGACCCTAAAGAAGTGATTACTTGAAAGTTGAAACCTCAACTCCCATCCACTTTCATCGCTTTTTATTGCAATATTCGACTTGTCAATGTTTGGGAATAAAACAATATCTAGCTTCAGTGAAGTTTTCAGTACAGTTAAAGTACTATTATACAAAAAGGTAATGGGACACTTTGATTAGATTCTTATAAAAAAAAACCTGAATAATATAATCGTAATTGTCGAATAAGATAAAAAATACCAAATAAATTTTTTATTGATTAAATTTAAAAATAATTTTAAATATAAAAGTATAACTAAAGCAAACAAATTGTTTCCCTATAATCAGAAATTTTAAAATTTAGCATACTCTTATATATATATATATATATATAATTAAGGATAAATTCACAAAAAAAAGGGTGTCTAAAGTTTTCATTATTTTGAAAGAATTCATCAAATTAATAAGTAGGGAAAGACCCTTTTGAATTCTGCATGCCATTCTAATTGAAGGGGAACCTTTCACAGGGACCCTGTCTATCTGAATTACATTGAACATTCCCGTTAATTTGCAATCTTCTGTTTATATCCCTTCTTCCCATGTGAAATTTTATCAGCTGCAAGTGGAGAAGAAAATTGAACGAGGATCCACAATATATGGCATGTGGTCAATCCGAGACCGCCTTCTTCTGAACTCATCGGAGCACTGAATGAGAATGCTTAAGCAAATTGTTAAGAGGCTGGCTTCCTTGGGCTTTACACAAAAGATTCTTGACTCGTTCAGTCATCTGCTTCATTATAAGGTCATGTTCCTTGTTAGTTATCAAGACCAATAAGAAATTACCATGCTTAATTAATTATTACCAAACATCGAAATTGTTATAAGATGACTATTTAAATAGTAAAACCTTTCCCAAACTTCCCCTTGTGTAGGGTACTGTTCTTTGATATCCTGGAGAAGTTGGGGGAGATTTCCTGCTGGTTTCTTCTCCGTATGTCAGTTTCCCTGTATTGCTTCTACTTCGTGTCGTTATCGTTGGGGGGCTGTGCCAGCTGCCGTTTGATATGCTAGGGAGGCTTGCTTCCTGTGACATCATAAAATCTCATAGCCTTAAACGTTTTTTTTTTTCGAAATTCTAAAACAGAAAGTAACCAATATAAAAATGGTTGATTTGAGGACATACCAAAAAGAGCACAGTTGCACAATGCTTGAGAACCTCCAAGTTCATTCGAACATCATCCAGGCTCCTGCTTAAGGGAATTATAAAACCATGAATATGTTCATTTCTATTTTTTTTTCTTTAATCATTTGTTTCAACAGCATATTCCAACAAAGGATTCAGATGTTTGCAAGCACAAATGTTCCGACATACCTGTGCTTTTGCTGCCCAAGCCCAAAGTAAGAAGCCAAGGTTGCCATCTGCATAAAGGGTAATTAGAGCAGGACAATCAGCCTCAAAGAAATTGAATTTCTATAATGTAAATAGAAAGGTTTATTACGTCTCAAAAATTTTTTTCTTACAAGTAACAAGGCTGATATGATATGAATTTTACCTTCATATTACCAGCTCTTCTCCCAAACTTCTCGGTCAATACTCCTAAAGAATCAATGATCCCAACAGATACAGGAGCAGGCCTACCAATCTCAGCAAAGGCCTCCTTAAGACGAACACAATCAAATCTCTGGATGTTATGGCCCGCCCAAACTTTACCATTCAAAATGCTGAATATTTTGTCGGCAACTTGCTCAAATTCAGGTGCATTTGCAACAGCTTCTCTAGTAATCCCATCACATCGACTGGACCTCAATGGAACAACAGACAAGTCCTTAGGCCGTATCAGGGTGCTATAGCTCTCCAGCTCAACGAGCTTCCTTGGACAAACTACAATTGCGCCAAACTCCAGTACGAAGAATCGTTGTCTGGTTCTGTTAGGCACCGTTGTTTCTAGGTCGAAAAACACAATTTCTGTTGACACTTCTTGGCATACACTGATAGCCTCCATTTCAAGTTGCTATCAATAAGGCTACCAGTTTTCAGCTCAAGGTTTTTGGTAATATTCATTGACGTTGTAATCATGTTATAAATGGGGAAGGAAGATGGGAACGAAATTGAGGTAATGCATCGGTGGAAGAAGAGTATTCTTGGCATTAGAGATTGATTGTCTTGTAGTTCAAGTCAATAGTTTTAGGCTTCGGATGAAGGGTTTCCTTATAAGTTTCTTAGGGAGGCCTTATGCAAGGAAATTCCGGTTAGGCAGGAATATTATTGCAAAAAGGGGAAAGAGTTGCTTTCCCTTGAGTATGTCATGTACCATCTGTTATTTCTCTTGGAACAGAAACCTTTTGGACAAGTTCCAGCTTTCCTCACCGAATAAAATACTTACTAAATAGGTATATGATTTATGTTGGAACATATGAAGCAAGCTCATTTGGAGAGGGAATTGATTCCTTCGAGTGCTCGATCTGGTTACCCTAGAAAGAAATATTCCTTGGGAACATTCTCATCTCAAGACTGGGTGTGGAAAGTAAACATACTAATGTTATTACAAGCAAATGAAAAATGAATGACAAAATGGCTACTTTGTGAAAAGGGTCTTTAATAGCTCTTTTTGGTCATAATCCTAATATCTTTTAGCATACTAAACAATGTTCATTTCTTTCTTTCCTTCTTTTCCTTTTCTTTTATTATTATTATTATTTTTTTGTTTGCATTGTATATTGCAAGAAAGAAGGCAGGCCACTCGTTGAACTGTGTCCTGAGATTCATGGAGATTGTGGTTTAAAAATGATGTGAAAAAATTCCCAAAAAAAAGAGTTACTAAAGGAATGGAAACAATAATTCATGAATAAAACAAAAATGAATGGAAATGGAAATAAAGGCAATTACTTGTTTGCATTGCAAAAGGCCCATCCTTTGTTTTTTTAAAGACAAATGGGCAATCGTGCAAAGAAGCCCAACTAAACAAGAAAACAGATAAGATACAATCAGATATATCAAATTGGGCCAAAATATAAGGCTAGAAATGAAAAAGCATTTAGCATTTCATTTCGCTTAGACACGTTCTTCCGAGCGGCAAGCGCATAATAAAGTCATATTTCCTCTTTCAAACCTGTGGCAGACTTGGCCTTTGAAAGGAAAATGCAGGACAATTTATAGAAGAGAACAAATTAACCTAGAAAACCCAGAATTTTATTCAAAAAGCTTATTAAAAAAATAAAAATTTTAAATCCCATTATAAAGTACAATGATCACAACCTGCTGACCATAATTTACCTGTGTTAAACAGGAACAGCAGGCCTCAGGGAGATAAGCGCTTTCTTAATTCTCTCAAAAGCAGCTTGCAAGGTGGTAAGGGATGCTGCATATGATATGCGAATGCAGGTATCATCCCCAAATGCATCTCCAGGAACTAGTGCAACCTGCCAATCAATGTTCCGAGGATTTAACCAAAAAAAAAAAACAATTTGACTGTCAGAAGCGATATTGATGTTTGATCTGCATTATTAAACAGAATGTTGAGGACACCATCAAATTTTCAAATATTTATGAAATACATAAGCTAGCCCTTCCCAATCACTTTAAAATCAAAAGGCAGAAGAGTCCCGAAACAGCACTCAATGAATCATACCTGAGCCCTCTCCAGTAGGTATCTACAAAGTGACTCTGAATTTTCAATTTTACCAAAACCTTCAGCTTCTATTCCATAGTAAGAACTGAAATCAATGAAGAGATAGAAAGCTCCCTGCAAGCAAGAAGTACGTTAATTGAAAAACTAAAATATCAAAAAATGAAGAAAAAGGAAACTGCATAAATGAGGTTTATTCATAATTAAATCGCGTTCAGTTATCTACCCAATAAGTGATATTAAACCAGTACCAATACCTGAGGTTCTGATATCTTAACACCTTCCAATTCCCCAAAGCTTTTAACCAAGAAATCACGCCGTTCCCTGAATGCTTTCACCATGGTAGAAACTGCTTCCCCACCAGCATAGCCCAAGCCTAATGCGGCAACTCCTGCTTTTTGTGATATGCTACTAGCTCCCGAAGTGTACTGAAAAAAATAAACAAAGAAAATTTGCAATCACCTCCCTCATGGTTAATTTTTGGGAACTACATTGAATGCTACCCTATTGGTTCAGCTTTGAGTACAAAGAAGGAACAAATTAAAATGTGTGTATGGTAAAATTTGTTTCAAACTTGTTTCAAACCTCTTCAGCTGCTTGGAGTAAAATCAGAAGGATGAAAATTGACGAAGTTGAACATCTATAGACTTAGGAGGTTCAAAAAGGGTACTTGGAGATTACTGACTATGCCTGATAAGTCTTCATGCATAAATAAATGTTCACATGCCATGTTCTAAAGTTTACAATGAGCCTCACCAAGGAAATTGGCAACTACATCCCACATTGTTTTTCCTTTTTAACCACATTGAAAGTTACCGCAATAGCTTAACTTTCGATATGATGCAGGAACCAAATTATATGCAAATAGATAAGATCAATTTAAACCTCCCCAGCAGCCAGGCAGTAATACCAAAAGTACAAATATTGACTAACTTGTCCAAGAATAGGAGGTTCAAAGAAGGCTACTCAGAAATGATTAAATATCTCAAAATGTATAAGCCCCAATAAAAAATATCAGTGCAAGCACATTCAGATACTTCAGTATTTGTTAGAGATTAGTAGTGACTGCATCTGCAGTCCTCAATATACCACACAAAATCCAAAAAGAGTGCCATAATTTCTGATCATTCTCTAGATTATACTAGCAACATAATAATTTGATTCCAACAAAAAGGTTATTCCCCAAGTTCATATGTTTAAAAATTCTGATTATAGGCAATATCATTGCTACACTAATGCATGCTGGATGCAGTTCCGTCAACAGCAAGTGATAGTGATTAGTACACATGCAACATACCTGACTCTGGATTTTATTACATGCTGCAACAAAGTGCTTAGGTCCGGCAATATATCCAAGTCGCCAACCAGTCATTGCAAAAGCCTAGATGTCACACCTTTAAAATGTCAATCCTCAAAATGACCACAACAGGAACAAGACCAAGGTTAAGCATGGAAAACTCGCGTCGATTAAGTAGAAGAAAAATTGAATCAAGGTTTAAATGCAATTGATTTACCTTGGAAAATCCATTGACTGTTAGAGTCCGTTCCCACATGCCTGGCAATGATGCAAAGCTTGTGTGAGTTGCTGGTGCATAAATTATATGTTCGTATATTTCATCAGATAGCACCTGAATAAGGCAATATCAGAAAGCTCAGTGTTTAAACATCAGAGTCTGTGCCTTAGAGTTCAAGTTATGTGATAGTACCAGAAGCCTGGGATGCTTTGCTACAATTTCTGCAATTCTTTCAAGCAATTTTTTAGGGTAAACAGATCCAGTTGGGTTGGATGGGGAACATAGAATCAACAGTCTTGACTTTTCAGTGATTTTAGACTCCAGCAGCTTTGGATCCAATAAGAAATTTTCAGAAATAAGTGTCGGAAGAATGACAGGTGTTGCATCAGCCAGCCTTGCCATTTCTGGGTAACTCACCCAATATGGAGCTGGAATTATTACCTGAAATAAATGAAGTCCTCATAATTAAATCACCTTCACCAGGTAAAAGCAGTTATCACTTAAGTGCTGAAAGCATGATCAGGATTACTTCCTTATGGTTCCTCGTATACATACACCTTTCAACAGAAGATCTAAGCACCAACAGGAAATGACCAATCCAGCATGAAGAAAAATGTTCTAATATTAAATTTTTATAATTTTATGATTTTTATTTTCTTCTTCATATAGTTTATTTTAATTCATTTGTTTTTTATCCCGACCACCCTTGACATGCAAAATAGGCTACACTTGTCTTGTGAAAGACAACATGGTGATCTTCTTAATCACTTCATGCCTGTTCTGTCAAGTCCATGGCATATCTCATTGCCTAAATTTTTTATAGCCTAACCACTGGAGAAATTTGGTCTCTGACTTTCATAGCCAAGTGGTACATCTCTTATTTGAGACCTGACAGAGTAATCAATTTAATAGCTTAATGAGAACCATACATTCTTGTAATAAGGGAAATGTAGTTCTAAATAATGGAAAGAAGTTGCAATGACAATGATTGAGTTTGGAAACATGAATCTCATGTGGTATTTGAACTTGGTTAATTGTGCAACCATACTGATGGACACACTCAACATGTAAATTAACAAATAAGATATAAATACCCACATACTCAATATATAGGGCTAAAAGGTGCATTTAAAATTCTTAGATGAGAATACAGTTTTCAAACTCACCTCCAATACACTATATATATCAAAGACATTAGCATTGGCATCTAACCATCTCTTACATATTGACAAAATCTATTAGCACAATATACCAAACAATTAAATTCAAATACACAAATTTCTAGTCATTTTCCAAACACAACAAATAGAAATTATATCCCTCAACACAAGCTCAACTGATAGGACAAAGAAGTCATGCAGTGCATTTGTGTCCGAATTTTATTGTTGTTCTGATGATATAATGAATTTTATGGAAATGATTGCAGATTCCAAAGAATATTCACTCACTGCAAAGGTAAATGCTGCCATCACTAGAGAGTCCCTAGTTCTATGATATGTAGACATGGCCTAGCATCAGATGAAACAAGGAAAACCTACGATAGTAACTTCACGAGTAGGTCAAAAAGGGGGTGAGGATTTCTTAGAGCATATTCCCAGCATTTTCTATATGGTAAAGATCATTAAAATAGAAAAACTTAACCTCATCCCCAGGAGAACAAACTGCAAGCACCGCTTGAATGATACTCTTCTTAGCACCATTACTGACCAAAATTTGATCAGGTGTATAAGAGATTCCACTCTCCTCTGCAACAAATTAAAAGGAGATAAGTAAATAGAACTTTAAAAGACACAAGAAACCCTGCCTCATTCTGCATCAAAGGTAAACAAGCATCAATTTTACACTTTTTAAATCAGAGAAGCCCTTCCATAGCATGTACAATTACCTTTTAGCTTGTGGCAAATTGCCGTGCGAAGTTCCAAAGTACCTGCATTGGGAGTGTACCTTGTGTAACCTTCACGAATTGCATTTATCCCGGCCTTATTTTTCAGAAGTGACATAAATATATTGAATTAAAATACTTCTTAGTAGAAAAACAGACTCCAAATTAAAATATGAAAATTTAGACATAGAAAATGACAACAGGGATCCAAATTGGATTCAGAAAAGAAAGGCACCTCTGCTATAACAGCTGGTGTATCAAAATCAGGCTCTCCAGCTGCCAACCGAATAACAGGGATACCAGCTTGTGCAAGAGCAGTTGCATGATCAGTTATAGCCACAGTCTTTGAAGGCTTCACAGAATTAACTCTGGGGCTCAGAGAGATATCAACTTTCACTTGCTCAAAGCTGTTATTCTCTACCTTCGACATTGCACTTATTCTAGATGACTGTTGTCTCAATGTCTCAACAGATCTGCCATGAAGTAGATATAATAAGAAAATTACAATCTCTTATGTCTCTGGTTCTCCTTTCTCCCTTTTGGAGAATTTCGGCAATTGGACTTTTTAGACTAGTTTTTGCTAGTTTCACTCAAAAGGCAAATGATTGCAAACAATGAATGGCCTTTTGAATTTTAATCTTTAAATTGATAGATAGCATTGTTTGTGCTCAAAGACAATACCATTACCATACGAAATCATTTCCCAAATAATTTGTCCATTACATATTACCACCCTACTCCTTTGACTGCTGAAAAACCAATAATACTAGAAAGGGCCTAAACTAACATCTAGTGGGGAATAAATCCTATATTGATTGCCAGCTGCAGCAGGTAATAAACAATCTCTCAAAAGGAATGAGCCATATTTGACGACATTACCCCAAACGATTTTGAAATAGAATTGCATATCAAAAACATCCTGCATCAACTCTAAATAGCCATGATATCTTCATAATTCAAACCTAAGGTGGCATTTGGTGCTTCACCACTTCAACATCCAATGGAATGTGATTGTTGGGAAGATAACATTATAATGCTCGATATATATGGAAAGTGCTGATTAAAATCTTGGAAATATAACATTCCAGTGTTCAGTTTACAAACACTTCACTAGAAATGTGATATGAATTTCCAAAATTATTCTTGTGTATCAAAACGTAAGTTTAATAAACTTGCATGCTTTTTATAATTAAATTAGTTAAGTTTTAGTTAATTAAATAGTTTAAATTAGTTAATTAAATGAGATTATTCTTTTTATAATAACTTATAAACTAATTTTAATTAACTAATTTAATTATAAAAAGCATGTAAGTGTATTAAATTTGCTTTTTCATACATAAAAGTAATTCTAGAAACTAACATCACATTCTCAGTAAATTAATTGTACACCAGATATTGCAATGTTGTTTTCTAGTATTTTACTCAATACTTTCTTATACTACCAAATTAGTCCTATAAAAATTAGTTACTTTCCAAGTAGTGGGAAAGTAACTTTACCGTAAAAAAAGGTGGGAATGAGATTCCCTCTATGAACGGGAAAGCAATACCCCAGGGAATGTTACATGTAACATTCCCAAGAATGTAACGATACCAATAATGGGAATATCACTTACCCACCTCCATTCCCTGAAATGTATTCAACATTGTAGAAAATATATGTGCAAGCAAAAACAATGGAAGGAAATGTGAAAGAGAATGCGTTTAATCTTCAAAATTCTCACATTTCCTTCCATTGTTCTTGCTTGCACTTATATTTCTTTAATAAATTCATGTTTCTGTGTCTTAACCATATTGTGTAAACAGAACGTATTAACAGTTATATGAGTAAATATAAACACGACATAATTAACTAATTGTGTCAAGATGAAACACATACATGGATACGTGTAATAACTGTCTAACACAACACGACATGACTAACACATTTATTCAAATTTAAACGTGTCAAGTTAAGTTTTATACAACACAATAAAAGAAGGATTAAATGATTAACACATTTAACATGATTAATACATGATTAAATTAAAATACTTACAATTAAAAATATAATTTTATTATTTAAATTTAAAATCAATAATTATAAAAATAATTATAACAAGATAATAATATCTTCATATATAATAAAATTAACATAAATAATATCCATAAAATCCATTGTCATAATAAAATAATCTTTTACTACTAAATTTAAACAAGTTGATAAACATGTCCAGTTATATGGATTGAACACGATAACAGGATTCATTAAATAGGTTTAAATGTATCTTAAACATGTTAATGATGTTTGACAAGTTTAAAACACTAAGTATTCGTATCTTAAATGTGCCAATGCGATTAAGACACGAAACATGATGAGATTAAACCCAAACATGCTTACCACGTCTTCTCATGTTGTGTTAATTATCCAAAGTTATCAGGTCTATTTATACTAAAAGGAAGCAACCAAAGAAAAGCTCAATGGCAAATACTAGTAGTTTTACTCGGGGTAAGTACCTTGCAGAAAATACTACACTAGTAATGACCACTAAAAACCCTAATTACAATTGTTTAAACATTAATCAATAAACAAAGTAATCTCATTTATACACCTTGGTAACACGCAATTGCTCTAATGATAGTCACATCTTTTCTTTAATGGAGTTCTAACACAACAACAATAAAACCGAAAGCAATGGTCAACCTTAACCAATAAATTTTTTCTTTCTTCTCATTTCTAGTAAATCTAGCATGAAACATAACTAGTACAAATGAAGATTCGAGAAATCCAACTGATCAGCCAGAAACAAAATCATGGTTTTCCTCAACGAACTGAACATATAGATTATGGAGTTCGTTCAAAAGCAATCACAAGTCAGAATTTGTCTCTAAGAACCCAACAAAAGAACAAGAGTTGAAAATAATAAAGACCCGGAAAGAAACTTACTTGAGGGAGTAATTGGTATGAGAAGAAGGGAATGAAACGGAAACGGAGGCCTTGGAACCCAAATTTGATCCCAGAAATTGAGAGCTGAAACCAACACTGGAAATGCTTGTTGACGAATGCAAAGAATTTGCCATTTGGATGAAGAGAATTATGAAGCAAAAGCACGGGAATTGGCCTTCTGTCGGACACTGGCCTCTCAAAGTCACATAAAAATAAAAGCAGGTAAATACAGAAAAAAATCGGGGGTTGGTGGGAAAGTGGAAAACGACGAAGGGTTGTTGGAGACTTGGCTGGAGCCAGAGGCATTAATTTTTACGACAGGTTGAATGGTGGTCTGTTTTTAACCTGAGATCTGAACCCTTCAAATTTCCATCAACGGTGGTGATTGGAGCGAGAAGCACAGATGGTTAGGTGGAAAATGCTAGTGGGACCAGCCAGCGCTGGGGCTCCTTAGCGCAAATGAGGTGAGACACAATGGAAGAGAGGTGGGAAATCGGACAAACTTTTACCGGGCAAGCGCGACCTAATTTTGGTGTTGGTGCCGCTCGGTAATGAACATCAGTCATCACTCGTCACTCACTACTCGTTACCTACCCTTTGTGGCTTTGCTCTTTTACGTAAGTAGAACAATATATAATAATAGATTCAGAATTTCTATGAAAAGTGGTTAAATAATAATTATTTAAGATTATAGATTCAATTAATGATTTGATTTTGAATAAAAAATTAATTATTGTTAATATAAAATTAAATTATAATATAATTTTTTAATAATTTTAATTTATATAAATTTTAAGATCCATCAAGATAAATAGATATAATTTTTACATTAGATATCATAATATATATAAAATTAAATTATAACATAAAATTTTATTAATAATTTAAATTTATATAAATTTTCATATTCACAAATATAAATAAACATAAAGTAAAAAAAATTAACATTAAATTTCTACATTAGGCTTCGTAAGTTGTGTTTGATATGTTTTTATGCTTTCAAATTTATTAATGATTAAAAAAATTAAAATAGATATAAAATAAAAAAATTAACATTAGATTTTTACATTAAATCTCGTAAATTACGCTCAACATGTTTTCATGCTTTCAAATTTATTAATGATTAAAAAAAATTAAAGAGTTTATAAAGAGAAAAAAAAAAAGAAGGAAAAAAAGTTGTGTTCAACGTGATTTTATATTTAAAAAAAAGTTGAAAAGAAAAAAAGGGGAAAAAATTTATGTTCATTGTGATTTCATGCTTTGAAAGGAAAAAAAAATTGCAAAGAAAAAGAGGATTTAGTATATTTATAAAAGGAAAAAAAAGAAAAGACATGAGAAAAGTTGAAAAGGAAAAAAAGAAAAAAAAAAGTTTAGTATCTTTGTAGAGAAGGGAAAAAAGAAAAAAAGAAAAAAAAATTTAAAATTTAGACCTAAAAATAATTGAACCAAATCACTAAAGATTAACTTAAAAGTTTCTTATTACTACTTGGAATCAATACATTTGATTTGCTTAGGGTGACAAATCTAGACATTTTGAATTTTATACATATAAAAATTAAAAAATTAAAAACTGATTAGGTGACGGTGACACGGCATGCAACGTTTCAAGTCCGTGACAGACAGCGTCTACCCCTAACAATACTGCATGATTTTTTTGAATAAATTTATAAATGGTTTAATTTTGATGTACTAGCATTGTATTAGAATTCCAAGTTTGCGTTTCTCAGACAAAAAGGTCTTTTGTATTTTATTTTTTAACTTTTATGTCAATATTAGTATTCCAAGTTATTAAATTGAAGAAACTGATTTACTATACATATTTTATGTCAATATTACTATATATATTTTATGCTTAAATCCAATGGGCCAAAACATTAAGCTGTGCTGTTAATGTTACCGCTCTATCGGAACATGTAAATTAGTCCTATACTTTTACAAGCTTGCCCTCCATGTAAAATACCTATAGATTCTATCAGTAAGGGACTTTTAGAAACACATCAATTTGTTACAATTGAGAATTTCTCCATTTTCATTAATCTACAAGAAAATTGGCTTCAGAAAAATTTAGCAACAGCAAAAATATCCATTATTTTCACTTTTCCTTTCAATATGTCATCCCAATGTTACACAAAAATAGCCTCTTCAATACAAAGCTCCATTGATATACAAGGTCCAAGCTATGGGGAAAGTTGTTTCAAAATCTTAAATTTTAAAAATAGGGTGTGGTGTCACTTGGGGGTTAGCTGGGTAAGTTGAAGAAACCGCTATGTATTTCCTTTTTATAAAATAAAGCACAAGCACATAAGAATGAATTCAACAAGCTCCTGTGCTGCCATAAATTAAAGCAACTAGGAAGAGAATATAGAGCACAAAAGGTTGAACCTAGCAAACCACCACTCCAAACCAAGTCTCGGCCAGCTTCACTCCCGAAACCTGCTCCAATTGAAAAATTCATCAGACCAGAAAGGACCCCAAAAGTATTGTTCAAATGAGGTTTAAGAACCCAAAAAAATGAAACAGATAGTAAAAGGATCCCACAACCAATTTTACATGCATCAGATGCTCCTTGATAGTACAGCAAACAGGACACAAAGCTGATTAGATAGACCAACTTCACCAATAATGAATAAGGGTAACAAGAAATGCAGACAATAAAACCATTTCTTTTATAATGTATAATACTTCATAAAATTACGTAAAACTTTCTTAGAAAAAGTAGCTCAGAATTTGAAGAAAGTTTAACTTGAAAATTAAGAAGAAATATCAGAATAACCCGAGAATTTGCAAGCGAAAATTATTACTTCTAAAAGCTTTCTGGCTATAGTTGAACCACTATTCTGAAAAAAATCCTTTAATCTGTATGAATACTTCCCACTTCCATCATCCTACTTCCTACCCACTTCCCACTCCAATCCTACTTTCGTTCACATGCCATGAGTACCCTAAATTTCAAATTCACAAATTAAACCTTCATAAAAAACATAGATATTTAATATAATTATTTACGTTAAATCAACTTGAAAATTAGAATCATTACTAAATTAAACCATTAAAAGCTATTGAAAGAGAAAAATACCTACAAGAAATCTTCTTTTGGATATAGTGCAATGCTACAAGAAATTCATGGCACTTTAACCGATTTAAACATCTAATTACGCATAATGATGTAACAACCATGTTGTGTATAGTATTCGGTAAACATAATTAAGAAACTCATATAAAAATATTGAAAACACAATTATTAAAGAATAATACAACAGAATGGTGGCTAAATGGGGGATTAGGAATAAAAATAAATGAAAGAGTACAATTGTTGTTTGCCATGTTAAAGACAAGTTCTATTCTTAATGAAAATAAACTACACAGACCTAAGACAATCAGAGTTTTCACCCTTTTAAACCTTTTCTTTGCCAAGTGTCATAACATGAGCCTATAAAGTCCCACAAAGTTCAAATTCAATTTTTTTTCAATTATAAGTATATTAAAATTGCTATTTTAACTAATAATAATTTAAAATACATTACAATTATATAATCAATACACCCACACACACACGCACGCACGCACACACGCACGCACGCGTGCACACACACACACACACACACAAATCATAATCTACCGAGACATAAATTCTCTTTTATACCAAAAAATTGTTTTTGTGTATAGTTTTTATTCCTGTTCCTGCTATCTCATGTTTATAGATGCTAGAGAAATCTAGCACCTCTTTGTTTACAACATAGAGGTTAGGCAAAATTTTTTATAACATGGATTAATGTGGTTTAAAAGGAAATCCAAATTATAACTGCAACAAATATTGACAATTTGAAGAGCCATAAGCCATTACCAAGTCAATCAATTATGCTGTCATTATTATTCCATTTGATTTTACAACTATTTTAGACAAATGTTATACCTTTTATCCCAAAAAAGAAAAATCTTTTTAATTGAAATGTTGATCAACCAATTATTAGAGTCTATAAGAACTTTTAAATCCTTTAAAAGGTCACATTTTAATTTTTTTAAAAATTAACAATTTCTTTCTTAAAAATTAATAAGAAAATCATATTGGAAATAGAAAACATTAAAAGGCTAGATGTCTTCAAAATAACAGAACCAATATTCTTTTGTTCTTCCCAGTCTTACGATATGCAGCTCTTCTTAATTTTGAACAGTTATTTTTAAAACTTTGACATTGGAATTATGATCAAACCAATGTCTTTACAAGCACATCATTCATAGCACCAATTATAAGGCACCTACTAAGTTTTGAACGTGAGTTAGTTGTTGAAATCTAAAAAGTTCATTCATAATGTTATTTAATTTATTGGCTTCTAAATCCAACAAAAAAAAAATGTTACTATATATATTCAAGGAATCATGAAAATGTCTTAGACTAGTTAAGTCAATAAGGAAGAAGATGCTTCTATTAATCACCTAATTGATAGTTTGCTAGTTACAATAGAATGCCAAACTTGTTCACTTACAAGTTGAAGCATTTAGATGAATCAACATAGGTAAACAGTCTGCTTAGCAATCGTGAATTTAGAGGCTTGGACTCAAATCAGAATGATGCATTTCGACCAGCAAATGCAGTAGATAATTAGGTTCTATCTACACAAAGAGACATTACAGAGTGTTTCAAAAAATTGATTTCCATGAAATGTTGGGGAATTCATTTAAGATAATTTCCTCTGTTTGCAGCCAACAAACAGTTGATTTCAAAATCATTTGCAAGTAAATGCCACTAAATGAGCAACTTCATCCATGATAAGTATAACATCATTGGACGTAAGAAACCAAAAATAGGTATAAAGGACAAGTTGGAAATAGAATTGCATTATAAACAAAATGTATCTTGAGTACTATAAGCGTTTAGATAAAAATGTTAAAGGAACTCAATTTTAACTGAACAAAAAATGAGATAATGTAACAAAGCACTAATGATTAACAAGTCAGTAGCAGAATACCTCAAACCCTAGTACAGGATGCGTCAAAATCATCAGGAGCAACACGTGCAATCCAATTACTCAATGTCCTCTTAATCTCAGAGTGATTAACATATGCCAACTCATACATGCTACACAAGTTAATCACCAAAGTCTCATTCAACGCCATGGTTGGCACCCTTTCAAGTGCATTCTCCAAAACCTTAATCGAATCCGACAAATCCCTCAAATACATCAAACAAAGTGCCTTATTATTAATCGCAACAACATCTGCATGATCTCTTTCGATACACTCCTCGTATTCCCTCACAGCAGAAACATAATCTTTGCCTACCAAATAAACCAAGGCGTTGTTTCTATTCACAAGATTCCTAAACTCAACCTCACTCAAAAAAGGATACCCACCATTCTTCCCTTCATTTAACATTGTCTCCACAAGGTGAAATGACCCTTTTGCCCCTTCAAGATCCCCAATCTGCAGCTGAATATACCCCAGTTTGGAAACTAAAACTGGGTCTAAATAATTATGATTGATCAAATCCTTAATCAAATCTAAACACACATTGAATTCCTTAGCCCCCAAATGATGCCCAATGATACAATTCAAAACAAAATTTTCCCTTTTTCTCCAAATTTTGACAGACTCCTCTAAATTACCACGTTCTTTTTCTTTTATTTTTTGACGAATAAAATTAAGCAAGAGATAAAACCGATCTAACCCTTCTTGGCGATTGCCGAGCTTGATTGGGAGCTGGGCGTGGATGAACCGGAGTGAGAAGGGGACCATTGAACCTGACCAGTTCGGGTAAAGTTGGGGGTAGGTTTCGTATTGGTAATGGTGGCTGTTGAAGTCGTGGAGAAAGTCGAGTTCGTTTGAAGCATCGGTGAAACGGCGTAGTTTAGAGAGGGCGACGACGTTGTAGGAAACGTAGATAAGGTGGTCGTGTGGGTTGGTCAGGAGGTTGAGAGAACGGGCTCGGGAAACTTTGTCCAGGATGGAACGCCAGGAGCCGCGAGTGGCGAGGTCTTGGAGAGAGGCGAGCTCGTGGGCTAGGTCGTTGAGAGAGTCGAATTGGTTCGTTAGAGGATCAGTGGTCGGGGATGGTTCGTCCATGGTGACGATGAGAAATGCGGAAGGAAACTGTCGGGTTCTGCAAGTTGGAGAAAAAGATAGCACTAATTATATGACTAAAATTGAGAAAATTATATACACCACCCTGAACTTTGAAATGTTTCTTTCTTAGGCCAAAGTAACTTTGAAATGTTCACTAACGCCTCGTTAAGTCATTCTTCCCTATTCCTTTATCACCCCTTAACGTAAGCCCTAGTTTGGATCATTATCGAAGGATGCAATGGTCATTTCGTTCCAAGAAATGGCCATCCTTAAATATGGCGGAATAAGCATTACCGCCCCTCGCAGATTTTTGAATAAGCATTACTGCCCTTAAATCTTCCTACTTTCCTCTTCTTCTTATCGCTTTCTCACATCCGTCCCACTCCTTGTTCTGCATCCATTTGTTCAATCTCTGTAGCTTCGTCCTTGTTCCATCTCCTTCTCTCTCTGCTTACAGTTCGGTCAGTTTCTCATCTCTGCTAAATTTGGTT